GGAGTGCCGCAGAAATTTCTTTTCCATTCGTGGCTGTCGCCCGTGGAATGCTCTCCAAGAATCGGTCGTCTCTGCACCGACACTAACAATATTCAAAAGACGGTTGGGTGGCGCACTCATCCACTTAGAATTTGTCACTTAGCACGTCTCCATCCTACTCCAGGAGTGTACCATGGATGTATTTGATGTTAACTGCGGGTGCTGTGAAGCTACGTGGATTGCAGAACTACAGAGGAGCAAACGATAAGTCCTTATTTTCATATTTAAAGTACTACTTGTTTGACATCCCCACCAACTATCCAATGGGACTAGTGGAGTAACGCTTCTTAACCCGTATAAATTCATTCTTCATTGTTCATAGTGCGTACGATGATATCAGTGAATGAAACCACTTCAAAAAACTATGAAACGAAGCTTCGTTTGCAGAGGTGTCGCAAACGGACAAGGGAGAAATTCCTCCTGATATTGTATTTCAAGATATGAAACAAACTGACAGAAAACACTCGGCAGAACAAACTCTTTGTGTTCAAGAGAGAAATACATGGGTACCTTATACTGAACACTGTAACAGACATGCTGAGCGCAACGGGAAGAGTTAATGGAGTATCTGAAAGCGGTGCGGGTAACATATAATAAACGTAAAGAAGATACAAACACGACTTTTAGCTTAATTTGCTTCATTTACTCGGCCATGTCTTCTTTGCGGCCTCCGTGGGACTTGAAACGGACCGAGCAATCATTTCTATTGTTTGATCCCTTTCTCGCCACATTATCAGCAGACAACTCAAATGAAGCTTTCGCATCGATCGGGAATTATGGTGGTCCCAACACGCCGTGAAGATAGAGGCCGCCGCCCTCAATGGAAACACTTGTAAGCAGTTTCAGCTCATACGGATCACTGGGCATAGGTCTGGTAGCAGCCTGGTCATCTGTGAGGCGCACGAGTCACAAATCACTAATTTGCAGAGATACATGGACAGATGGGATGAGCACTTCCAGTCTCGGTTCAGTTGTACCTCGTCATCCACCTTTACACTCAGTCGCATGCCATGGTCAGTGCCATTCGAACCACCAACCGAAGCGGTTTGCCATTGGATTCGTCACTTGAAGCGCTTAAAGTCGGCCGGCTCAGATGAAATTCCCCCAGTTGTTCAAATACGGCGGTACAGCAGTCGTCAAGATCTGAACGGAACAAAGGGTCCCCTCTTCCTGGAGGGAGTCAATCATTGTTCCAAGATTCAAAAAAAGTCCTCACACTTGGTGTGCCAAGTACAGGGACATTAGTCTGATATCTGTTGCCTCCAAACCACTAGCATCCACCATACTCCGCAGGTTAGCCCCCACTCGTGAGTTATACTACCGGGAGGAACAGGCTGGTTTCCGCCCCGGTCGAGGTGTGGATCCAATCTTCACTCTTCGCCAACTCCTGGAGCATCGTCAGCTCTACCGCAGACCCACCATTGTCACTTTCCTGGATATTTGGGATGCGTTCGACTCGGTAGATCGACCTGCTTTATGGAGCTGCCTGCTGAAGAATGGAGTTCCGGAAAAGTACGTCGCCATACTTCGCACGCTATACCTCCACACTTCAGGCCGAGTGAGAGCCAATAGCACGCTTTCCTTACTCTTCCGTCTCCAGTGGCGTGCGACATAAATGAACAATGTCATTGCTTCAATGCAACTTTGAGATCGACGATGTCCTTTTGGGAGATTTAGAGGGTCTGCAGAAATTTAGCGAGCTTTTTTCAGGTAATCGCGCGACCGACTTAGACTACGCTGCTGATATCGCCTTGCTCGGTGACGACCCCCATGGGATGCAATCGTTCATTGACCGATTGGTGATTGAAGCGTCTAAGTCTGGTATGTACTTTGCCCCGTTCAAGTGCAAGTTCATCTACATGAGTATTAAGCTCCTCTTCCCAAATTCACCGTCGAAGGCGCACAGCTCGAACACTTAGTTTTACCTACCTAGGGAGTTGCGTCTCTACCGACGGCACAATTGGAGCAGAGGTAACCCTTTGAATCGCTAAAGCCCGGTCAGCGTTTGCCAACTTAAGACATCTGTGGCGCCGTCGCGACATTTCACTCTCGCTAAAAGGCGGGGAGTACAAATCATGGGTACACGCGATATTGCTGTACAGATAAGAACCCTGGCCGATTGGTGTGGAAGACATGCGTCATCTTTAGTCTTCGGAAGCAGTTATTTACGGAAAATTGCCCGCGTGCCTTGGCAATACCGAGTGTGTAACGATGACGTTAGACACCGCGCCTAGGGTAAGGCGATCGTTCCCGCTTGGTGACGTCGTCCGGCTGCGTGAATTGAGATGATCTGGCCACGTCCTGCGCATGCCTAACGAGCGTTTACCATGCCGCGAGGTTCGCGCACGCAGATTTAATTGGGAAAAGGCCGCGTGGAGTTCAACCCTGCACCGGGCGACAATGCATGAAATCGATGACATCTTGCCTGGACATCCCTGGCCCCGTTCGACTCCCCGGCTGGGGACTCAAAGATGAAAAATGCCAATGGCTGACAACGCTGAAAGTAATGGCGAAAAACCAGTCGCCGTGGAAGAAATGTTTGTGATTTTACACACGACATTTTGTAATTGTTTGCTGTTTTTAAGAGTTAACGTTTTTGTAAACGTGAAATCAAGCAGACTTGCGCGCAGACCGCCGCTTACGAAGTGAGTTGGTAATGATGTACTTAATTCTGCACGATCCACATCAAGTGTGCCACCCTTTACTGCAACACAGCGGTAATATCAACTTGAGAGGTCACTCACTAAAATTGGTAGAACAGTACAGCCACCTGGATTGCCGCAGGGACTTCTTTTCCGTCCGCGTTTGTCACCCGTGGAATGCTCTTGCAGAATCGGTTATTTCTGCACAATAACTATCCACATTTAAAAGAGGTTTGGATGACACAGTTACTCACCTACCCTTTGTTACCTAGTAATACGTCACCATCCAACTCTTGGAAGATAGTTTGGATTTATTAGCTATTACATGTTTGTGCTGTAAAACTACCCGAAGCACAGGACTACAGCTAAACAAACGAAGTCCCTCTTTTAAAGGTTAATAACCCACTGCTTTTTTATTTTTCGACAACCGTGCAAAATCACCCAACCGGACATGTAAAGCATTGCTTCTTAACCTGTAGAAATTCATTGTTCATCACGAAAAATTCAATGATACACATGTACTCTCATTATTTTGATACCTCATAACCTTTGAACGTGGACATGCTTATTTAACATAAAGCAAGAGCATGAAACCCCTGTAATGGAGCTGACTTTGATTGGGATCAACTTCTCGTAGTCCAGGAATACACCGTTTATTTATTTTTATTTATTGATCAGACCACATAGTTGGACTGCGCCTCGAATCCCCGAGGAATATACCGTTTATTTATTTATCTACTTATCCCTTTTGTTCCTGTTTCGCTCATGTCCGAATTCTGGTTCATTCCCGCCAGCAACATCCCGCTGTCTGGACTGTGCCCGCCCAGCTCTCTGTGCTTCACACCCAGCTCAGTCATGTCTTACTTCATTCCTGTGTTATGCTTTGTCCCTACAGACAGTTGTGATTTTGGATCATTTGTTGTGGAATATTGCGCCAGCGAACCATACGGTCAGTGTGGTGGCTATTTCGGCCCTGCTAGTGTGAGTCTCATTGACTGACGACCCCGGACTGCTATTGGCCATATTTTGCACAACTTATATGCTTTACACCACAGTCTCTTGCATGAGGCAATTTCACCATGTTTGCTTCACAGATCGATCTACTGATTTGACTCGGCGATTATTTTTGCATTGGAGGACCCATGGTGTAGTTGAGCTTGGGAGTAATTAAGGCAATGCCCGTTTTTACATGTTTAGTTTGTTCAATAGTAGCTCCGTTCTGGCTTTGTTCTTGAATGTTCGGCGGGATGCGCGTCGAATGAATTTCCAAGCGTTTTTAGCGCTACTAATAGTACGCGGTAAGATCAAATGTTAGGTGGTCACAGATCCGAGTAAAAAAGCGCATCTTGCGAGCTGAAACTCCCAACCATGCACTACGTCTGAATAATCCTATCAGTCGAAAGGAATCTTTGTCGAGATGCCACAATAGCGGCAGCTGATCAATTCAATCATCTGTTGATTTGTTACGGTAGGCAGGATTAAACCAATTTGCAAGAGGTTATAGAAAGATGCCTCGCGTTTCACCAGATGAAATCGTACTGAAACTTACAGGTCAGACATGAAACGACGCTTCAAATTCCTACCCATAGCTGATTTTCGGGATCGACATGGCTCATTTGTATAATAGCGCAATGGATAGTAGAATTCGGCACATAAAGGTTGGCAGATATCGCCAGGATCAATAGCCCATTGAGCCCCATGAGCAGCGCTTGACCCATTGATTAAAGTTGATTGCCACGTTTTGGAGCAACCGTCGTGTCTTGGACTGCGACAAGCAATCTCAATCTTGGCCTCGGTGAATTAGAAGTCAGCCACTGTCATTCCGATCACTGAAACCGTATACCGATACGGTTTTGGATTGTGACACGCAATCCAAGACACAAAGCGGGTGCTACAGAACCGGACAACCATTCGGCAGATAGTTTAGTTGCTTCCAAACTTCTCTGAACTCATGAGTTCTCGCTCGGAACCAAGATTTTGTAATCGGAATTCGCATTCGAGCCGGTGAGTACAGATAATGCAAAAGTCGGGTTGTGGCGTGGTCCAGACTGCGCTTATATGATCGACCAGACATGCGGGACACTTACACAACGTTAGTAAAATCAGTCTCATTTGCACCTAAATGACGATTAAAACCGCGGAGTGCTGTGATTCAACAACCCATTTAAGCAGGGGAAATGAGGAGGAGATTGCATTTCTGGAGTCCAAAGAATAATAAAACGCGAAATGTAAATTATGTACATGTGTGGGCGAGACTGGAAAGCCCATTGACTAGAAAGAATTTACAAACAGCACTTTAGATAATGGTGTCACGCGTAGTCAGGTTTCCTCATCGGAATCAGCCACGAGAACGGTTCGACCGGGAGTGTTTGCAGCGGGACGATGGCCTATGGTCGAAAGGCACAAACGGGAATCCGGGTCGTTGTCGTCGTAGTGCGTAGTCATCCGCTGCAATTCCAAATCCATGTCTTCCGCACTCATGTGGTTCATTTCGACGTCATCATCATCTTGCTCCAAATGTGAGAACAGGACAGAACGAGCCTGAAGTAAAAATGTATACTCAACAAGTTAAAATGTATGGCGAAAATTTTAAGTCACTAAGACATCCAAGAAAGCGCGTAATGTGAGAGAAAGAATAGCTATCGAAACAAAAGAAACGCACCCGGTCGCTAAGTGGATGTAACGAAACAAAGGCAGTGCTGAATGGTCGATATAGGGAAGGATTGAGAGACCAAGTCGAGGCGAATACCTGTATTGGAAGTAAGAGGGGATCACAGCCCTCCATCGTTTTCGCGCTGCCTACCCGGATTCCGTCTCACCTGAACTGTCTAACGATGGTGATGAAATCCACTGCAAAGCACTGACCGTCCCGTTCGAACAGATCTGGATGGAAGAAACCATCCCAGCTAACTGGAGGAAATCAATTATAGTGGCAAAATACAGTAAGTGCTAAGCACAGAAGTATCAGACTACCGCCAGTGGTGACAAAATTACTGGCGTTGATTCTCGTTCGTCGTCTCACTGTTGAACGGGAATCCCGGATTAGGGAAAAGCAAGCAGGCTTCCGCCAAGGACGTGACTGGGTAGATCGCATATTCCTATGGCAGGTACTGCAGCAGCGCCACACATACCACAGACCGACAATAGCTGCGTTCTTTGACTTCAAGAGCACGTTCAACTCAGTAGATCGGTCCATTCTATTCCAAATATTTGGGTGGATATTTTACGTGCTCTATACTCGAACACAAGAGGGCGCGTCAGGGTCTATGGTGAGTTATCAGATATCTTCTTGGTAACAAGGGGCGTTCATCAAGGTTGTCTAATTTCCCCATTTGCGTTCAACTTTGTTATGGACTCCATCAGGGAGCGTTCCCTTTAGGAACTTAACGATGCAGGCGTAAAAGTGCTGCTCGGGGAAAGGGTAGTTGATCTTGATTATGCGGACGATATTGTGTTGCTGTTTAACGATGTTGGGGAGGCCCAATAAACCCTGAATAACCTCCTTGGACTTGCAGCGTCGTTTGGCATGTGCTTCGCACATACAAAGTGCAAAATGTTAGTAGAGGACCACGAGCCACTTGATAATCCGTTAACCCTCGGCAGCGAGGAATTCGAGGTAGTTGATTTATTCACTTATTTCGGTAGCAGCATCAGCAATGATGGGCGCAATAGCACTGAAATCAGCTCACGTATTCTAAAAGGCAGAGCTGTGCTTCTTAAATCTGCGACTTCTGTGGCGGCAGAAAGTAGTTCCTCTCGGTCTAAAAAACCGTGTTTACAAGGCCACAGTGAAGTTCGTTCCACTCTGGGAGTGAGACTTGGACCCGTCGACTTGAGGACATACAGCGCCTTCAAGTCTTTAATCATCGTTGTCTGCGAAGTATTGTTCGTGTCGGATGGCACCAGCGTGTACTCGACGATGATGTGCGTAGGCGAGTGTTAGGCAATGATACTTTGGAACGACAAATAGCACTGAATAAGCTGCGTTGGCTCAGGCACGTGCTACGTATGTACAATCAATGTTTACCCATATGACCTAGTTTTGTTTGCCAGATGTAGGGTGGCGCAAGACTCGAGGTGGACAAAAAATAACTTGACAGCGTGAAGTGAAGTCACTGACGACCAAACTTGGTGCCGTCGGTCCGTTTCGCATTCCAGTCTGGAGTCCACATAATGCGCCTAGTGTTTAGCTCGAGAGGTTACAGGACATGGCTAGCAGTCACCATGCTACGCGTCGCTTCTAAAATTGCACTAAGCTGCTCGGGTCAAGAAAGAATGTCGGAACTGATGAGAGTGTGGTGGAGGAGGATGATTCAAAATGGCTCCAGAAACAAAGCGACGACAGTTAGGTGATAGAATGGTTCCGATTGAGAGGAAAGCTAGTAACGAAGCTAAACAAGCGCAAAGAGGTTAAAGGATAAGTATTAACACGGGTAATCACTTACAGACTGACGCAGACGAGGGACACTGTAGGGTCTTGGAACATGGTTCTGTGGCAGAGGTGAAGAGGTTGGCGGAAGCAGCTGAGTGTGGGTGAGATCGAACGGATTAGGGTTAGCCAAGGAGTTTTGCATTTCATCTAGGTTGCGGTGTCCAACCATGGGAGCAGTAGACAGAGTTGCCAACAGAGTGACCTCATCTTTCGGAGGGTCGCCGGAGAACTTGGTGCGGGTGGTATCAGAAACGGTGGAAATGCTGCAAAAGCGTGCAAAACACCATCAGAGGTATATAAAAAGACAAGGAAAACTGAGTGAACTAAAACAAGGCATCCTGAGGTAGCTTTAAAGGTTAAGCTAAAATGCGATAGTTTAAAAGAATCGATTTCGAGGAACGTGTTCGCTGCGGTTTAAAGAAACAACTCTGACTTAGGTGCCGAAGTAAGGTAGATCCAGTTGGTAATACCAGCATCGCCATGATACCAACAACTGACAAAGGTGGGAAAAAAGCAAATTAGTACGCAAACAAAAGAGGATCAGTAAAAGAAGCAAGCAAAATCAACTGGATTGAAAAGTAAACAGTTCCTAATAAAACGGCGAAGGTAGCAGAGTTACCAACTACCGCTGCGCCATGTCCAATAGGGCTTGAGACCCGTGATGGGGTCCATCAATCTCGGAGCCCAAATCTACGAAAACACACGTATCTGCCTGAGTAAGTGTCTCAGTCAATTTCTTTATGCTATTGTGCTATGTTACTGATTGGTTGTGGAGGAGGGAGGAGAATGTGCATAGAAATGGCGTCAGCAATACGTCGGTACTGCGTACCGACGCTCCGCTGGCGCGTAACCACCAACAGTTACACGTAGGTTAAGGATATTACAAGGGTCGGTTGGTCCCCAAAGCAGGCTAGAACCTGCGACCCTACAGGGCAGGCTTGTGAACATCAAGGCCACGGGTACATCTCGGCGAAACCAAATAGTTATCACCTCCCCGCTTCCTTGCGGATAGGCTCTTGAGCCAAAGGCTTTGGTTGAGGACCCTAATCGTTCTCCTGTCTAGGTCTGGGCGCCCTGACAGTATCTCAGCCCACATACAACCATGACTTTTCATCAATCTAAAACCGCATCCTGCATCGGCCGTCGCGCAGCTCATCAAGTGTCGTCTTGCCGGCTGTATACAGCAGGGCGAATAAGCGGAAATATGCTACTGCTGGCGCCTCTCTTCTTTCTTTTCCACCTGTTTCTCTTACTTCCATCCCAATCCTTATTACTAGTATTTTTTTCTAAAATTCCCAGTTTAATCGACAGCAGCCGCAATGCCACTGAAGTCATGCCATCTGCAGCTACCTTTCCGACCCATCCATTGGACGCCAATGAACAACAGCTCCTTATAAGGCCGCATTGTGCCGTTTACCTAGCGGCGTTCAACGTTCCTACTCTAAAACAAACAGGTCAACAGGCTTCACGCGCACGCATATTGGACACATTGGGTACTGAAGTGTGTTGTGTGTTCGAAGCTAGAATCAATGACCCTCAGCGGTCGATGAACTAACTGCGCCCGGCTTGTCCTCTCGCTATTGGTTACACGCATAAGGAGACGCTGGTGCGGCAGCCTTTGGTCAAGCTGGAGTAGGCATTGTGCTCAGCTCCAAGACAATGTCATTGTTGAGTGACCGGACTTCTGTGAACAGCCGTTTGTTTGCAGCCCATTTGACGACATCAACTAAGGTTGATTTACGAAGCAGTAGTAGACGTTGTTTGTTGGTGGTTTTCGCTTATACCACCATCTAATGAAGTCATGGTGCTGTCAATGACGCTTTCTACCATGAGCTGAACCCTGTGATTCGCCGTGGTACCAGTTCAGATACGGTTGTTGTTGCAAGGGATATGAATGCGCAAGTAGGTTAACGGAGACGTAAGCGGAGCTGAATTTGGGAAGCGTCGGCCTCAGTGCGGTCGAGCAGGCGATCGATCGTGTAGGCCAGTGAGTTTGTAAAAACACAGGTGGTTATAATTTTCCTCATCCTTGTAAATAGAAAGCTTGGGTGCAGAGCTAGTGTGAGATTTTTTCTTTGACGCGGCTGGGAGTGGCAGTGAGCAGAGGTAAAGAAGAAGCGTTACGACAGGGCGACAGGAGTCAGAAGAACCCAAAGATATCAGACAGTTTTGAACAATTGCAGGCCCCTTTTGCGGCAGCAGCAGCAGCAGCCGCAGTTCGAAAAGTCACAGAGGCATTTGATCGAACTGCTATCACACAAATTAAACATTCAAGTAGAATGGGAACCGGAACTGAAGCTGACATCGCAAGAAATTGTTTCAGAATGCCAGAGGTTGCTCAACTTGAATCCTGGTACAAATGTGATCGCATGTTCGGCAGCCACGGAAAAGCAACACTTCTGCCACACTGCCACGTTAAAATCAGATGTACCCATCAGACCTGGGGATACGACGGTAGAAATCAATGGCAGTCAGATTACGCAGATGAATAGACGCCACGAAGAAATACGCCAACCTGGTCCAGAATGTTGCAGAATCACCAGAGTTGCGCTGAACCTCAAGTCAGTCACGTAACCAGTATCCCGAGCAAACCACCTTGTGCCAAGCAGGAAAGAAAAGCATTGCAGTTATCATGCAGGGGAAAAGCGGACAGACAGCGTGCGTCATTTCAAAATTGGGAACATGGTGTACGCACGAGACTTCCGAGGACCGAGGAGGTGGTCGACAGGAAGAGTGATCCACAGAAACGGTTGGGTCATCTACGAGCTAATGGTAGGAAAGGAGAAATGGGTCAGGCACACCAATCAGCTGAGGCCGAATCACGGCAAGACTCAAAGTCCCCCAGAACCGCCATCCCTACCATGGGACATCCTGCTAGACACGTTTTGTTTGGAAGACGAAGCTGAGCGGTTACGTGGATCACAACATAAGATGCAAGCAGCAGATGACGCACAATGCAGGCCGACCCGAAAGCGGAGACGACCACCATGACTACAGGATGATCCCAAAGCGAAAATCTATGAACCAAACCGAGTCGAACGGTAACCTGGCATACTCAATTGGAAAGGAGAGGTAAGACGTAAGCGGAGCTGAATTTGGGAAGCGTCTGCCTCATTGCGGTCAAGCAGGCGATCGATCGAGTAGGCCAGTGAGTTTATAAAAACACAGGTAGTTGTACTTTTCCTCATACTTGTAAATAGAAGGCTTGTGTGCAGAGTCTATGTGTTTTTTCCTTTGACACGGCTGGGAGGGGCAGAGAGCAGAAGTAAAGAAGAAGCGTTACAATATAGGCCATCTGAGATATGTTGTAACTGTGTGCGGAGCACCGGCTATTTCTCAGTGGCAAAACTTTTAGACATAGTGAGCGCCGAAGTACCGCTTGGTGTCTATCTAGGGCTGGCCAGCGATGGATCCAAACTGATTACCCTGCCATAAGTTGCAGTTGGAGTGATTCCATCCAGGATTATCACTGGTTTTGAAATATCTACGTCGTCTATGATCATGCCTTGGTACGCTATCGAAGCTCCGTGAACCTTACCGGGTGTACCAAACGATTGCCAACTGATAATATATCTCAGCTCTCGGTTAGGGAAGCATACCAGGATACACTGCGTACCGGGCATTCGCTTTCGTTCTACTGACACTGTGCTTCAGTGAAATAGGATCTCGGCCGCCAAGCACGATGCGGGAGCCCCTCATTGTGGTATTATCAGTCGTCACCGCAACAACCATTGGATATCCGAGAGGCCGGTAAATTTGTTGGGATCCAGAAAAAAAACTACCGACTGGCTCTGAGCACAATGTTACCAGACGAAATACGAGGTAAGAACTAAAGCAGAGCCCGTATTCTGTAAGGTAGCCTACAGGATCAGTTGGAAACAAAAAACGGAGGAGGCGGGAGCAGTAGACAATTATCACAGGCTCCTACGGCTGATCCGCACTAATGGTCCCAGAAAACAATGCATCAGCGAGACAATCAGAAGCAGCGCAAGTGCCCTAATTCACAATAAGTAGCGCCGCCTGGCTCGGTGGGCAAAGCAGATTCGAGAGCAGTTCAGTTGGCCCCTACTTCTGGACCTCCTCCTACTCAGCTGGTGCAGAGTGAGCCATAGCCGATGAGTTTAGAGATTTTCGTCACAGACTGAAATCTGAAAAACGATCGCAGCCCCTAACCGTTTTCGTGCTGCTGGTCCGGATTCCTTCGCATCCGCACTACTTAGGGATGGAAGCGAGGTATTCTGCAAAGCACTAACCTCCCTACTCGAACTTGACTGGAAGAGACCATCCCAGTTAGCTGGAGTGAATCCATTATAGTGACAATATACAAGAAGGACAGCCGCACCGATTGTTCTAACCATGGGGGTATGGGACTAACGCGTGTAGTGACAAAAGTACTGGCCTCAATTCGTGTTCACCGAACTATTGCGGAACGGGAATCCCTGAATAGGGAACAGAAACAAGATTTCGACTAGGACGTGGATGTATAAATCACATATTCACTCTGGTGGCAGTTCCCAGGATGGTCAGCTCGTTCCTCATTAAATACCACAAGAGCTCGTAAGACGCTGTGTCAAATTCAATGTGACCGGCTATGCCGTCACTGACCACTCACTTCTGGTCATGAAAGTGAGTACTTAACAGAGGGCGGATGAACAACCTCGATGGCCACCGGCTTCTATGAAGGCGTATGAGCCATTCGGCTGTCAATGACCTTCGTGCTTCGCGGTAAGTTCGGTAGTTCATGGAATCCTGACCTTGCTGCTTCACTCGGGCTCTTTGGGCGCCTTGAGTAGTTTGCGTCTACTCGAAAGTCGTTTTATCTTCAACTAGATAACCGGCTCCCAATGGTTCGCGGTATAGATCAATCACTCCGCTGCCTTGCGGGTTAGGTCTTTCATGACCCAAGGCTCTGGTAAGGGTCCCTAAATCCTCAGCCTGGGCAACCGGGAAGCACCATGCCCACAAAACTTATGGACTGTCTCAGCAATGCTTCGGTCGCTCTCGTTCTATCTGGTGGCTGGCGACTGAACCTGCCAAACCTCGTTTTACCGCACCACCGGTTAGTCACTTTATTCCACGTTTGTTCAACCCCCACCCCCATTCTTGGTCTTCCTCCTCCGTTTTCGAGTTCACAACATCATTCCGTCTTGGGCGAACGTTCCCGCCACACGGATCAGGAGCCTAGGTCCGAGGATGCGCCGTTGTTTGACAGGCCAGTTCTAGCGCCCCGTTCCCATATCAAGCTGGCAACGTTCAATGTTCG